ATATATATATATATATATATATATATATATATATATATATATATATATATGATTATATGCATTGATTATTATGATAATATTTATCACTCTTATGTTGTTTTATGGTGCCCTATGAGGCATTGCAGAGTAGGTTGGCTGGAGGTCCTTTTTGTGAAGCGTGTCTTCATCTTTTGGTCGGTTAGCTAGGATGTATAGGATTCGTTTGTGATACACTGTATATGTATCTAGTCGTTGGTTCGAGTCATGCTCTGGTCATGTAACACTGGGATCGCTTGGTTTATATATTTTAGAGATACTTTATGTACTCTATATTATCTTTTTATATTTATCAAATTATTATGACGTTGGCCCCAGTGCCTAATGATGTTGATTTGGGTGGTGAATTCAAATGTTTCTTTTATGAAGATTGTGATATAATTGAATCCGCTGCTGCATGTAAAGTGAAACTTTGAAAAGCATGATTATTTATTGAAGTGTTAATGAGCATGACAGGTGGTTTTGATGTTTGAAAGTTATGCGTGACGCCCTTTTGTGAATGCATGATTATTTACTCTGATTATTCATATATTTTTTGTGGGGTTTGTAAGGGTGTTACAGTAGAGATGCTTGTCAACTCCACTGCAGGCTATGAATATCTTAGTATGCTCGATGGATACTATGGATATAATCAGACATTCATTGTTGACGAAGATGTGGCGAAAACGACATTTCGATGTCCTGGGGCTTTAGGCACCTACGAATGGGTGGTGATGTCTTTCGGCTTAAAAAATGATGGGGCAGCCTACTAGAGAGTAACAAATTCCATTTTTCATGACTTTATAGAAACATTTATGCAGATTTATCTTGATGATATAGCTGTTAAGTCTGTGTCAGGAACAAATCACATAGACCATATTTGATAGTCATTCGAAAGGATGAGGAAGCAAGGTCTGGAGATTTCTTAGGCTTTGTAGTTCACAAGAAGGGGATTGAAATAAACCAAAATAAAACTAAGGTCGTTATGGAGGCGAAATCACCATCAACAAAAAGGAACTGTAATCGCTGCTAGGGAAGATTAACTTCTTAAGGAGATTCATCTCGAACTTGAGTGGCAAGATTCTTGCCTTTTCTCCTCCACTTTGACTAAATAATGAAGGCTTCTAATGGGAGCAAACGCAACAGGAAGCTTTTGATAAAAATAAAGAGTATCTTGTTCATCCTCCAATTTTGTCGCCTCCTTGTAGAAGTAAAAGTATGAGATTGTACATTTCTGCGTCTGATGTAACTATAGGAAGCATGCTTGCTCAAAAAGACGAAAATGGCGTCGAAAGGGCCATTTACTATCTTTGTTGAGTCCTTAATGATGCAGAAACTAGATATAGTATGATTGAAAAATTATTTTTATGTTTGTATTTTTCATGTACAAAGTTGAAATATTATATAAAGCCAGTTAATGTGTATTATTCGTCTCATTTTGATATCATTAAACATATGCTTTCAAAGTCAATCCTGCACAGTCGAATTGGAAAATAGGCACTTTCTTTAAATGAGTACTCCTTAACTTATGTGCCTTTAAAGGCCATGAAGGGGCAAGTGGTCGCATACTTTATAGTCGACCACTTCGTAGTCGAAATTTCCCAAAACTATTTCGACCTTGAGCCTTGGAAATTATATTTCGATGATTTTAGTCATAAAGATGGAACAGGTATTGGGATATTAATTATTTCTCCTAATAAAATTCCAACGAGGTTTAAATATAGGATCGAAGGTTCTTGTTTGAACAATGAGGCTGAATACGAGGCTTTGATAGTCGACCTTGAAATTCTGTTGGAGTTAAGGGCAACTAAAGTCGAAATCATTGGTGATTCTGAATTGGTTGTAAAACAGACGACGAAGGAGTATAAATATGTCAAAGAAAATTTAATAATATACTTAGTGATAGCAAATAGACTATTATGAAAATTTGTAATGGTGAACATTAGACACATTCCTCGACTAAAGAATCGGGAGGCCAATGACTTGGCTCAAATTGCTTCTGGTTACAAAGTTTCTAAAGAAAAGTTGGAAGACGTGATCGAAGTTTGAGGGAAAGTCATGAAGACCATATTGTCTCCGACAGATTTGGAAACAACAAAGTTAGGCTACACAGATGAAGAGAACTTTGAAATTTTAGTTGTCGACAACCTAACAGATACAGATTGGAGGAAATCAATAGTGGATTACTTGAAGAATCCAACAACGTCTACGGAGCGAAAGGTCAGGTATCGTTTCTTAAGTTACACTCCTATGGAAAATGAACTGTTTAAAAAGACGCCTGAGGAAGTTTTACTCAAATGCCTTAGTGAGGCTGAGGCGTATTTAGCCATGTTGAATGTCCACAGCGGGGCATGTGGGTGTTGGATGGGATTTCAACACATGAATATTTGAAATAAGCTAGTGGAACTTAAAGATATATTATGAGAAAGAATATATTGTGTTTGACATAAAGGTTTTTAAAGGATATAGTCGAAGAAGACTTTCGCTGCATACAGGAAATTGTGGTCTGAGACTTAGAAATATTTTTGGTGTAGACTTGATTTCGACGGAGTTGCTTAGAGTAACGTTCGACGAATACAATTCAAAATGAGGCTGATAACTGTTTTTGGCATTCTCCGTTTCTTAAAGACACGTGAAAAGTTTTGAGCAGCGAAATGCATGCAAATCGAAGACGTGACATCTTTTGGAGAAAAAACTGTTTAATTACAAATATTTATGATTCATTCTAAATAGGAGTATTAGCAATTAGGATTTGTGTGTTCAAACTTATACAAAAAATACAAATTTACTCAAAGTATTTGTGTGTGTTGAGAAAAGAGTTTTCTGAGTGAAATGTACGTGTGACCGCCATACTTTTATAATTTTCATTAAATCATTTAAGATTTCGTCATTTACACTTCCTGTAAATTTACTTTGAAGTCATTTACTTTACAATTTACTTTTTTTGCATTTCTCTAAGAATTGTGACTTTACCTTTAATAAATTAAAAGAACATTGTCGAAATGTTCATAAACGATAAAACTTGAAACGAATAAAATCACATGTCCTAGGATCAATCTAATCGATCCTGTAAGTAACCAAAGTTATAAGAATTTGGAATACTAGCGTTTGTTTACCAATTGCAACGGTAAACATCTAGACTTTTTTATAAGCCTATTTAGTTAAAAAAGACTAGGCATCAGGCCATGAAAAAAGCTTTTTAAGTCTAACAGACCGACATATTTAAATAAATATAAATAATTTATTATTATTATGTTAAGTTTTGTACTTTGAATTAAAATGCATAAACAAAAATTATTTATCTTGCAAAACTTATGAAAACACCTTATGAACAACGTTATAAATTATTCTTATAAGTTATCTAAAAACAAATAATCTCACAAAACTTATGTTAATAGGTAAGTTAAAATAAGTCAATATAAACAAACTTTTAGTTTCATTGGTTTTTAGTTTGTTAGTCAATTTAAAATAACAGACTTTTATGTAGGCTAATATGCTAATCAGACTTTAGAAAAGGGCAGACTCATGCCTAAAAATAAGTCGCTACGTCAGATTTAGGCTTCAGTTTTTTTGACAAGTGAGACTTAGGCTTAAAAAAGTCTAACTCGCTCCAGTCTATTTCCACCCCTAAGTACAGGAGATAGTGTAGGAACAGGAGGTCCCAAATCCGTCATACGTAAAAGTTTATAGTATTTATACTATTGAATTATTATTAGTTTTATTTTATTTTGACTTATTTCGTCTTCATTGTGTACTCTGAATTTATTGCTTTACATATGTCATTTTTTTTATATGAGTTGTATGGTTTAATTCATCATAGTATAATTTTAGTATATCATTAATTTTATTTGAGCATCACTAAAACAAACTTAAAATTTACTATATGGTGTGATTACAGAGATGCATCTCTAAATTTTGTTTGGTGTAAATACAAAGATGCATCTACCGAACAATATATTGGAAAAAAATGGCGTTTTAGTGAGAAATGTATGAGATATATATTAAATTTTGAAGATGCATCTCCAGATTAGATTAAATTTTAAAAAATATATTGAGTGTCGCTCAATTTTAATGTTTTGACTGAAGCGAATGATGTGTACGAAGTTATGTATCTAAAATCTTCTTAGAGGTATTTTTCCACAAATTATAAAATTAATAATTCCTTTTTCCACAACTTATGAAATTAATAATTCCTTAATTTGTTTGTTGTTCTTTTCCCTCGGCTTGATAATGAGAATACCAAATCTTCTTAGAGGTATTTTTCCACAACTTATGAAATTAATAATTCCTTAATTTGTTTGTTGTTCTTTTACCTCGGCTTGATAATGAGAATACCATGTTATGTACTAAAAGATTTCATCATGAGATGGATAAATCTCCAAGGGTTTCCGCACTATACACCTTAGAAATACACCTTATGTTTTAGTAATTGTTTATTGTTTTGCAAGATTATGATAATACGTTCTATTGTCTTATATGGGATAAAACTTGAAAAAATGATGCTTCTTAGAGAGTAAAATGTTTCTTATTGTTGTTAATGGACAATTTACCAAAATGAAAAACAAAGACAGGTGATCCGGTATTATAGACTTCGGGTCGAGGAAGTTGAGAGCATTTTCCATGTGTTGAGGAATTTTTCTTTAGCCATGAACATTCAGCTGCATTTGAAGCAAATATATTTGCTGTACCAGGCTTTTCAGAGACTTTTGAAATTACTCTCAATATTAATTCAAATGGTGGTGGTGAATTGAATGATAAATAGAAAATTAATAACTATAGCTTGTCACTTTAATTAGACATGAATCACAAAAATTATCGAGAATAATAGAAAATATAGTTGTATTAAGGCTAGAACAAAACAAAAACATAGTCTGATTTTCATAAAATTGAAGGTTGTTCAGATAAAGAAAGATGTGAAAAAAACAAAACCAACTCAGGCACAACAAAGTGCAGTCTAGCAAAGAAAACAAAATGCCAATAAACTTCTAATATCCTCCTTTGAGATCATTGACAACATCATAGGGTATTGGAGTAACAGTCTCCAATGTAGCACCTTCAACCTTGAAGCCAGGTTTGGGGCCCTCTGGCTTGCGCTTGGTGCTGATTACCTCTCCCTTGGCCTTAGCCTCAGCCTTCAATTTATCATTCTGGATCTTCCTCAATCTGAATTCCTCTGTGCATCTAGAAGGCATAACATGCTCCACTCGAACATGAATCCTCTTCCTCAAGATCTTGTTCCTCACCTACAAGCAGAGCAACCAATAACCAGTTTAAATAATATAGACAAAATTGAAACAGAATTGCAGTAAACAAAGAGGTTTTCTATCTATTATAACAATTTCACACTTGAATAATATTTTGATCAATAGTTAATAATTATATATATGATAACAATTTCACATCTCAATAATGTTTCGACCTATACATACAAGTACTCTATCTTGGTGAGTTTTCGACCTATTAACAACTTCCATATAAAATACTGTATCACTAACAATTAACCAATGATGTGGTGATTTTGAAGAAAAATATTCAAAAGTCTGTTACTTTAAATTTATAAATTGGAAACTAAAAATAACCTAGAAGCCTTTGAATGCTCAAAACTAGATACACGGTAGTATTATTTCACAAGAAAACCTAATTTCACAAGAAAATACAAAAGCTAATTTCACATGAAAATTGAAAGTATTTAGAGTCTCAACAATACTTCAAAATTAAAACCTAATTTCACAAGAAAATACAAAAGCTACTCAACAAACTGAACCAGAGAACAGCACATCGGCAATTTAATTCAAAAATAACACTACAAAATTAAAAAATGATCTGTAGAAGTTCATAAAATTTCAGCATCATCGTCGAAAAAACAATAACTTGAAATGAAAATAAAATCAAAATAACAGACGAACAGAAAATCAATATCAGAGAAAGTTAAGTTCCAGTATACCTGCTTGTTGACTTCGACACCGATGGCACGTTTGGTGACGTTCCAGACGCGACCGGTACGACCGTGATAGAATTTATGCGGCATACCCTTATGAACAGCACCGTTAACCCTGATGTCAACATAGTCACCGATGTGATAAGTCCTGAGATATGTGGCAAGGGCAATTGTTCCCTTCTTGCGGAAGGGACGAGAGAAGGAATCCCTTGTACGTGAACGTAAACCATGACCGGCAGGCATGTTTTCTGATTCTAGGGTTTCTGTTGCTGCCGCTCTTCCCTTCTTCCCTCACTCACGCTTAGACAGTGAATATGAATAAGAACCCTAATATATTAGACATTGGGCTTTTTTATATGGTTTCTCTTGATGGGCCGGACTTTCAGTTATTACATTTTATTTGAGGAATGCTACCTCCACCTTTAAGGATACACCACACTCCTTGGAAATTTTGAAAATTTATTTTTTGTGTTCAGAGATACATTTTTAGATGCACATAAAATAGACCAGTCTTCATAAATCAACCACACAACCTATTTTGGTAAAATATAATTCGGAGAAGTATATCTAGATATTTTTTGAGTGTATTATGTTGCATCAAAGACGTTGACAAGAACATTTCTTCACAAGCGAAACCATGATCGTGTAAACTTATTGCATAAATAAAAAGAGATTTTAGGATAATTTGCTTTCTGAAAGGCAATTCTGCAATTAAAAATATAATTTTATTAGGCTAAATACCTTTTTTTTTGTCCTTTAACTATATTTTTAGGTTCAGGTTGATCCCTTAATAATTTTTTGTGTCAGATTGGTCCCTTGACTCTTTAAAATGTGTCATATTGGTCATTTTCGTCTAATTAGCGACGGAAAAAATTCAAAATATGTCGCTAAATCCGTTGCTAATTAGACAAAAAGGACCAATATGACACGTTTTAAATAGTTAAGGAATCAATCTGATCCAAAAAATAATTAAGGGGTCAATCTGAACCTAAGGATAAAGTTAAGGGACCAAAAAATGTATTTTGCCATTTTATTAATAGCTAGCGATAGAGAAGTGTTTTTGCTTATCTAGTAATGTTGATCAAACGTCCAGTATAATTTAGCAGGAATGATTGATTTTATTTAGAACTGAGAATGTAAAAGTGACATATTAGTACTTTTCTTTTTAAGAATTTATAACGAGTGTGTATCACTTGGAAATGAGTAACTTTGGTACATATTGAATTAAAAGTTTATTGAGATTATGGTTACAGAACAAGCTACCCGCCCTGCCCCGCTAGGGTGGGGAGAGCATGCCCGTCAAGTGAAAATGGATTCAAAAACCTAGTATGCCCCGCCAAAATTTAAAAATGGGCTTGCCCGTCTATTTTTTTATTTATTTATTTTTCATTTTTTTAATAGATTAATATGGTTATTTTAACATTTTAATTAGATTTTTCACTTATTTTTTAGAATAATTTTTTATTAAGCATCTTTTTAACAAATTTTAATTAGAGAAATATTGTATATATTCACAAATAAATGTATACAATCAATTCAAAATATAGTTCAAGTGTCAACCTTAAAAAAAATGATTTGAGTGCTTGATAACTACGTTAGCGGGCTGGTGGGCCAACCGTCCCTTTTTTGGCGAGCTTAAAGTGGGGCAGACTTAAATCGGTGTGGGTTAGGCGGGTAGACGAACACAAACTCCCAACCAAACCCACCATTTTTTAGCCAGTGGGCGGGTCGTCCCGGCAGGCCACGACCAGTTTTGCCACCCCTAACAGAGGTGCATCTCCGAATCAAATCCAAAAATATATTTTTAGACTAAATTTTAACAAAATAAGGGTTTCTCATCAATTTGTGCTCAAGAGTGTGCAAAAACAATGTGTCTGGAGATGCATCTTCGAATTACAAGGATAATCATGAGTTTTTACAGTGGTGGATAAACACCTCTAAGAGTGAAAAGTGTAAGAACAAAATTTGATTATGCATCTAGTCTTATATGTTTTGATGATAATAATACATAAACTCTTAGAGGACAATTTTGTACCATAATGATTTTGCTTAGTGTGCAAATATTAAATACAAGTTCTGACTCTAATTGAATGATGTGTGACGTCATCGGGTTCTGAAACTAGTGCACTCTGACTTTGAGATGTGTGTTTTTACAAACTGATCAAGCTTTAGATTTTATACTCAACGCTTTTGATTTCTACTCATCCTAAGCTTTATTACTCTAAAGCTTTTGAAGTTGTTATGCTTTGAAGCTCTGCGCTCAAACTACTCTAAACTGTGTCACCAAACTCTGAAGAACAAGTTCTAATTAGTTGGATCAAGACTCTGAAAACCAAGTTTTTAAAGATTCTCTCAACCAAACTCTTACAATTCTTTTATGCATGCTTCATCACCTTTCTATGATAAGCCTCAGAATATTGAAGATAAGACCAAAAGGTTTTAAGTGAGAAAATAGTACACAGTACAAGATCACATGTTCCTTCCACTACACTGATTGGGGTAAGAATTGTGTTGTTGTACCATTTTGTCTCCCATTTTCACAGACAATTATGCATGGGTACGACTGCATTTTAGTATTCTAATTCTAACCTCCAACACATCTTTTTATTTTCTATATAAAGAAGACTTGGGAGAATGGAACTATGTTACACTCTAAGAGATTATCATATATATGAATTGTGCATTTTGTGAAATATTTAGAGAGAAAAGAATCACTTAGACAACAAACTTTTGTTCATACTCTTCATATAATATATCTTGTGTGATATACTTATAACTTATTAATATATTATGCTTTCTTAGAAGCATTTTGTAAACACATTTAGTATCTGAATCATTGTGATTGTATTTCCGTGAGTGACTAGGGTTTAGTCTGAATTACTCAATAAGACATTAACAATTAGTCTTTGTGTTGTAATCAAGTTTGATTATAGTGGATTAAGTCTTTGTGATAAGAAAAAATCACCTTGGCGGGTGGACTGGAGGTAGCTTTGTTAACAACGAGCCAGGATAAAAATAATTGTGTTCATTATTTTTGTTCTTAGTTTTTTCTTTGTTTCTTTGGGTTGCAAAAGTTTTATTTCTTGAAACCCAATTAAAAACCTCATTTCTTGTGTTTCTGTTACCTTCAAAAATAGCAACCCCTTTTATTTTATATACTTTTTATTGAATTAGTGTTTAAACTGGGAGGTTTTATCTCAATCACATCGCATTTTCAGACCATGTGCACGATAGATTGTGAACAGGGAGATCTTACTTTAATTACATTGCACTTTCAAGTCTCCTACTTGAGGGACTATGAACTGGAACAACTTTGGTTGGGCCTCATAGAGATTGACCCCTATAATAGGTAAATCATAAGTAACATGAAGAGGATATTAACATGAAAGGGGCAGGGTGATCTGCTGTCACGCACGGATCAAAAACGAGTATTTTTGAAAACAGTAGTAACGGTAACGACAACTTGAGTATCATTCTCGCAAGGATTCTTGTATTATTTCAACTAACTAAAGAAAAGGTTTATGGGGGGGTTGAATTTCGATTAAAAGAAAAATTGTGCGTATAAGTGATTATAAAATAAGCTTAAAAGTTAATTTGTTGATTGGTTCATACCAATCATCGGTTAATATAATTCCAATCTCCTAATAGATTATCTATTCCTATTCGATTATAAACTCATTGACAAGCACAATTTGTATGTGTGGTGTAGGTTCCTATTATCCGAATTAAGCTAACGGAATTAAGCAAACACAATTTGATCAATCATGATAATGAATTAAGCAAACGCTAACATAATTATGGTTAAGGATCATACAACAATCGAATTAAATCAACATACTCTATGAAAATTGGATTAAGCAAACAAGAATCATAGAATAAGATTGAAAGAAATAAAAACTAAATTGAAATTATGATAACCTCAAGGTGTCGGAACCGAATACAACAAATCAACAATTGAAATTAGTTCTCCATGAATTTTTCGTACCAAGCAAAGTAAAATCGTGAAAAGAAGGTAAAGTGACAATAGTACAACTGCTAGATATAAGAAAGCATCAACACTTCTGGTTTTAACCCAACTAGGTCGAAAAACATTAAAAAAAAACCAGTCCAAAGCTAAATATTTTAAATGACAGATTTTGGGTCCTGACTTCAACAAATTATTTGGACCTGCTACACTCTGAATCCTCCTCTGCCTCAAACATAAAAGTTGTAGCTCTTTGTCCTAACTTTCCAATACCTATTAGAATGCGTCAATCCGATTCTCGAAGCTCCAATTATGATCCGAACAGTGGACAAATATCAAATAACTGTAAATGCTGAAAATAAGTTGCGAATATAGAATAAAGGTAAAAACAAACTTAAATATGAAAACACATTAAAATAGTAAAAATACTCAAATAAACTGTAGGAATGTCTAAGTATAACAATGGAAAAACATGTATAAAGATGTACTGATCACATGGTCAGCTAACGAGCACGTGATCTTTCCCTCTCTAATGCTCATCGGTCATGGATTACAATATAACATATCCATCAACGTATTAGGAGAATAAAAAATGTCATCACAAATCACATAGTTTATATGCACTCCTATCACGGGGAATGCTTCTCTTTATTCACCCTAATATCAAGTCAAAACTTGGAATGTGCGGCCATATTCATATGCCCTTGAACCGATTTTCTCAATAATTTGTGGATCAAATAATTTAGCCTATAAATATCATAGGAAAATAGCACGGTAATGATTCACTCAAATTATATATCAGAACAAAAAAACTTTTTGCTCTCTCATTACAGGTATAGTAACCCCTTTTATACTTGGTGCAAGTACAGTTGACACCCACTATGGGGCCTAGTAAAATTAGCTCAGACCACACTTTCATAGTTCCAAAATGGTTAGACGTGGCACCACTGATAGTAGCAAGGGCGAACAAATAGCCATAATATATATGCATGTTACCATGGAAGAATCATGTTTCCCCAACAAAACCCTGCAAAGTAGCATTTTACATCTAGTACAACAACAACACATGTGTTGAACGTGTAATTCATAGTACTAATTCACGTCACTCAAGAATCGTGTAACAAGTTGGTTAGTGAAAGCTCCTGAGGTTTGACTAAAATTTTGGTAAAACTTGATGAAGAACAAGGTAATCAAACATGAAGAATTCTGCAGATAACAAAGATGTCGAATGAGATGTCCTATCGTGAAGACTCGACATCCTGGACTGATTTAGCAGGTTGCTTTAAATCTATTGCAAGATTCAAGGAGCGATCACAACAGTGGATCAAATAATCAGCTGACAGAAGATTCGAAGCCCATAGATAGTAAAATATTATAAAAGGAAGACTTAGACCTAGGGCAAAAAACGAACCTTTTGTAACTCTTTTGTAAAGGGAAATAGGGGATTAGGGTTTTGAGAGTCGTAGGTTTTGTTGTGTTGTAAGTCTCCCTTTGTATCGGTTTGATACATTGCGGTAGACATAGGTTTACAGATTCAGAAATCTGTAGGTAATGAATCATGTATTGTTTTTGGATGAAGCTTTGAAGCAAATCCAAGTAGATTGTTAGTTAAGGTTGCTTGATGAACTTGTGTTGAAAGAGGTATCTTTCAAGTAGGATGATACAATTATTATGACTATAACTATTAGTTATCACAGGTTGTGATTAAGGGAGTGAGATGGGTTTCTCTTATCAATTAGATGTGACTTCTAATGATAAAGTTTTCATTGGTTAGTGATAGGTAAACCAGAGGTTGTTTACATAAAACTATACTATTGATAGTGGATTCTTCTTCCTAGCTTGGTAACCCCCAAATGTAGGTGATTTGCACCGAACTAGGTTAACATATCTTGTGTTATTTATTATTCTACAAATTTACAGTTAAGTATTTGCCTTTTGATTAACATGTTGTAACAGATGTCGAAACATCTGTTGTGCTTCTGGTGCTGATATTCAGAGTATCAACTTGATTATTCTGCCCTTGTTTTTAATGTTATGCAGAGAACAATATCGTGACATGTTATAGGACATATGTGATCTACTATGCCAGAATTTCAGTTAGTGGTTAAAATTTTGTTATGCAACAGAATTATGTTTTAAAAGTTCGCTAGAAAATTGCTTGGCTTGTAAGGATATACTTAGGTGGGTATATCATATACCCAGGCAGGCATGCTAATTTTTGTTTGATAAACTACTTTAAGAATATACCCAGGGGTATATTATAGACCTGAACGGGTATATCGATTTTAAGGTATATCAGACAGTTGTAGACAATTTTTTAAAGACTTAATTTGGGTGGCTAATGTGTATATAGACACCACCCTCGTTTTAATTGAATAATGCCAGAATAATAAACTATCTTCTTCTTTCTTATCCTTCTCCCTCTCTATTCCAATATTTATTTATTCTTCTTTTCAATTCTAAAGTGTGAGGAACAAACTTGAATCTTTCAAACCATGTATGTATCACTTGTTTGAAAAATGGTGTGAAGGTTAATCAATCAATCGAGTAAAGATTGGTTGTTGTTCAAGCTAGTTTTGCTCTGATGTTTGCTATCTATAGCAGTACATGTGATTCTTGGGGAGTATATAACAATGTCTTCTCATTTGAATGGGCATTTTCTAACAAATATTCCTATTTTTAATGGAAAGAATTATGAAAATTGTGTAAGTAGGTGAATGTTGTTTTCTAATATCAATATGTATGAGATTTTATAAAGAATTGAATGACACAAATTAGGGATAATGTCAAGAATGAACAAAGGGCTTCTCATAAAAATTAAAGAAGAAAGATTATAATAGCCCTCTTTATAATCCACTAATGTGTTGATTAAGACAGTTTTGAAAGGGTTGGTAATATAGATTCATTGAACGAGGCATGGGATATCTTGGGGAAGTCTTTTGGAGGTACTGATAAAGTGAAAGAAGCGAGGTTACAAACTCACAAAGTAATGTATGATTTGCTTCAGACAGAAGAAAATGAAAGTATACATGACTTTTTCACTAAGGTGTCTTGACTGGTTAATCAAATCAAGATGTATGGAGAAATGATGACATTGAGGTTGATAGTTGCAAATATCTTGAGATATTTGCTTCCAAAATTCTATCATGTTGTTGTAGCCATAAAATAATCAATGAACCTGTCAAGTCTGATAAATGAGGAGTAACAAGGGACACTTGAATCTCATGAGCAAAGAATAAGTGAAAAATCTGCAAGCAAGACTAAAAGTAATGTGGCACTGGAGACACAGACAATGAAAAATAGAAAGATCAAAGGAAAATGGAATAGAAATAAAGGTAGAGGAGGTTACAACAATTCAAATGGCAGAAGTTGTAATACCCCAAATTTGATTAAACTATTTAATTGAATTATTTGGATTTATTTTTGATCTTGACAGCTGATCAGAACCTGAAGTGGGTCAGAGACAACGTCTGCGATGTTGAGTGTGAAAGATGAGGAATAGGTGTATCTGCAAGGCACTCCGATGCTAAAGTGAGAATCGGAAGAAAAGAAGGCAAGTACAAAGCATGTGTGTTTTAGGATGATTATTGAATACCCAACCCTCTCAAATAATAGGGCTTTTATAGTGCCCATAACACTTGGCCACTGGTCCCTATTTTCGGGGCGATATATTCGCTTCACAAAGAATAGGTAACTGCCAAAAACCAGTCGTTAAGACAGACAGAGGTGCCCAAAACTAGACGTTGCTACAACCACAAGCGTAATAACGGGAACACGTTTAGTGACTGTTTCTAGATGGTGGAACCGTGCGTGGCTGGTAGGAACTACTGAGGATGGGCAGTTGACCATAGAGGTCAACCAATCAGCCTTCCTTAGTAGAGGGGCAGAAAGGTAAATGTTGCACTAAATTGTCTGGACTTAGGCAATTGGACCGTTATGGGAGTGAAGCTAACAGGATTATACAAGAGTGAATCACACACTCAAAGATACAACAGAGTCGCCACCGAACTTTATTTACTCTCAAAGGACAAGGAAAATATCAATAAAACCCAAATGGAAGAGAAACAACTAAGGGGGTCGGTTATGCGAAAGGAAGGTACTAGCACCTTGTGCATCCGTCGTATCCGATGGGAACCAAACTTACCCAAATTATATGAATTACCAAACTTACCCAAATTATATGAATTATCCAACAAAGGTGCTCCACTGTCTAACAAACAGGTGCACCCTCACTTCTGAACACTAAATAAGAACACAACATCCACCCTCATCTTAACTTTGATCAGAGTTGTCATTCATTTGCTATCCTAATCAGATTAACCTTAATAATTATAAGTCTCACATTTGTATAAATGTTCTTTTTGCAGATTCCCACATATGAACGCCACAATCATAACAACTATATTGAAAGTTTTGCCATGATGATCGTTCTTAACCCTCTATCTACTTTCATCCCAACAAAGTAAGATTTTTCAAATTCAAACACAAAATATATAAAAAAAATCATTTAACAATGTTGATTTTTTCGGATGAACTAGAATTGACTCTTATATTTTATTCGTGTTATATATATTCTTACTACATTTATAAAAGGAGTATATTATGCTAATTATTTTCTTTTTTTTTGTTTTTGTTTTTTTAAATATGCCACTCAATTTCCATTCTTTTCTATATAAGTCACTGTATTTTCAGAAATCACAATTTATACTTGAGCAAAAACAGAACGAGAAAAAAAGAAATCATTTTTTTTTGGGTTTAAGGGAAAAAAAAGGTTTCTGCATCTTGCGTTATTGACACAATATTCAGTGCAATTCTACACTCTCCAATGGTTTCCACCTTCACGTGGCTTCGCTACCTTAAATCCAAAGCTCAATACTCCGTCGCTCTCGGATTCAAGGTCTCTCTTCTTTTTCTCTCCCTTTCCGTTTTCCCCTAATTTAGTTTCAAATCTCATTTTATTATATCATTTCCGTTTAGTTTTTTTGATTTTAATCTCATAACTTTCGAATTTATAGCGACTTCGCAGCTTCATTCATCTAATTTGTGCGTTTATTTTTGTTATTTTGCAATTTGTTATCAGTCTTGTGTTTTGCTGATTTTTGTCAATGGTAATTGTTTACATTTTTACTGAGTTAGGGTTTCAGTTTCAACAAAAAAGTGTGAAATTTATAAAGTAGTGTGTTTGAAATTTGTTATCAGCTTTTTTAGACCTATCTTTTGTATGTTACATAATAAAGAACCCCAATGTAAAACATTTGGAACAATGGTGAAGTTATCAACAGAGAGTAATACCCTTCTTTGTAGTTTAAGTCCCTTAGCTGTGTGTCACACATTGTTAGCACTTCAAAGTCCTCCTTAGGATCTCCTGACTGATACGATGTTGAAATTTGACAGAACCATAAAGGAGGTCAAGTGAAAGATAATGAGCTCACAGATTTTCTTTGGAAGCACTTCTGTCATGGAAAAATGACTTTCTTGCACTGGAATAAAGGAGAGGAGATGGCACCTACTATTGCTGGAAAAGGAGCCACTCTTCTTGTTAGGAGATTACCAATTCCAGACCCAAGGTAATCAATCATACTCATCTAATATATCATATGTTGTCCCTTTGTGCAATTCATTTGACTTCTATTGCAAGATGTTCTTAAAGCACGAGATAATACAACAAAGGTGCTTTCAATTCTACACGTTTGTGTGCATTTTTTGGTCTAAATGTGTGTTTAGGCAGATTGCTATTTTATGCTACTGACCCTTCATACACCTGATGAAGAAATATTTACATGCCAATATCTCTTATGCTGAGCCAGCATGTTATGACAAAAACTATTTTGATGAAGAAATATTTACACGCCAATATCTCTTATGCTGAGCCAGCATGTTATGATGAAATCTGTTTTCTCTGCGTAACTTTCTGTTAAATTATGTTTACACACTATGGTTTTCTGCCACAGTTTTACCATATGTTTGGTTTCTTCTACCTACTTTACTTGGAGTTGGACAGCATTAAATAACGCATACACATCGCTTTGGCGTCATGTTTGTGTCGGATTTCTATCCTGCATGATACAATGGTGACACATGTCTCTATATGTCTAGTTTAAAAATTAGTTTTCGACATCAACCTGGTCATTTAAAGTTGAATAAAAATACACTTACAGAAGTTGGCCCTGTTTTAAACTTTTATTTGTGTAACATGCTTTATTTTATATACATTTATTTATATTTCAACTGCACTGCGGCTTCCGCCATTTATCTGTCATGCTATGCCCTCTTTCTCATATCAGATTTCTAGTGATCCGCCATTTTCCGTGATCTGCTATTAATAACAGTGTTTAGTGCTTCATAGGTCATAAATGACACAAGTTTTTAATGAGTTTAGTTATGTCTAAAATTGAAACCTTGTCAGTTTATTTACTCATGTTTTTCATACTGCTGCTCAGTTTGGATGCATCATAAATGATTTCATTTTTTTTTTCCTGATTGCTTCAATCTCTGTTATAACTAGGCTACTCGTGAACAAGTTGTAGCTATTCTTGAACTTGGTTTGAACTTTTTTCCGTTATCATTATTTTTTTTCAGATTACGCTGTGTTCAGTTTATGTTCCCGAGACAAAAATGTTAATATAGATGAGATGATTATTGGTTCACTAGATAATATAAGGTTAAGAATCAATTATTACAGGGAAAGTTGAGGTAGTTTGCATTTGGGAAAAGATGCTACTATTTTTCATTTAGGTAGTCTATGTATGTGTACATCAGATAGAGGATTGTCCAAAGGAAAACTATAGGTCAAATAATTGCTTAAGATTTTGGTTTAAATACCGAAGCAGAAGACATGATTTATGACAGAACATGACATCATATTGATTCAAGTAGTTGATTCTACCTAGTAGAAAAAAACTTTGGTTGTGGTTATTCTTCATTCAATAATGTACGTGCTCAAGGGTAAGCCTTGCTGCAATGATAAGGTTGCTTTCTGGTTACCTATTGGTCAGGTGGTTGTTGTGGAAACAACCTTTCCAGGAAGTTGTTTTGTTTTTCTTCCGGAAAATGTGATAAGTAAAGCTGTAAATTAACTGGTTCCAGTGGTGTGACTGATTTAATGCTCATCACAGGCAGTAGTTATGTTTAGACTTTTCTCTGCAGCGCAAATACTTTTTTTTGTACTTGTTATCAGGTTGAAGCTTAAGGATGCTATAAGTCATGATCATCCCCCTCCACAGTACCTTATTGCGTCAATTTCAAAATTTCGAAACTGGTCTTATTCCCTTTTGTTCTTGTGATTATTGAGTTCCACAAAAGTCAGCTAAAAGATTAACTGGCAATAGACTTTTTCATCTGGAGTTCGTTATGTATATTCCAATTTCCACTATTTGTTAGTAATAAACATTTTTCTTTGACAGACATGTTTATGTAGGAGATGTTGTGGTCTTGAAGAACCCTGAAAAGCCAGATGACTACCTAGTCAGAAGACTAGCTGCGACTGGAGGTTATGAAATGGCTTCTACTAATGAAAAGGATGAATCATTTGTTCTTGAGCAGGATCAATGTTGGGTAGTGGCTGAAAATGAAAAATTGAAAGTCAAGGTATGAATGACTTAGCTACTTAGCCTATATTTACATTGACAATTTACTATTACTTTTATGCTATCCTTAGTTGGGGTCACTATGTCCAATCTGAAACATTTGAAGAACTGGGCATTGATCACCTTTTAAAATTAAAATAAAAAAAGAAGCATGAACCACCTTAAATACTTAAATACCAACGATAACTAAGAAAGAACAGCTTGATAAAATAATACTTTAGTCGAAGAGTTATATTTCAAAATCTGAATTCTGAAAATTAGTGTGTAATATTAACTAGGTTTGACTAATAGTTGGACCGGTTAAATTGTTTGTTTTGTTTAAGTTATCTGATTGTGTTAGCCAGTTTTTACACCTGTGTCAAAAGATGCTGACATTATTGGCATGATCTGGATTCTGGACTTCAGTGGGCCTCAAACCCCCTTTTTTCTAGAAAAAATGAAGCAGTCGACAGTTTTGCACGGCAATTCACTTAAGCATGTTTTGGAGTTATGCTCAAGACTTTGATATGGTTCTAGGTTGTGTTTGTGTCTGGGTTCCTGAAGTAAAATTTTCTCAAATCCTATTTTGACCTAAGCTTCTTAATAATAATATCTACAATAGAAATCTTAAAGTTAATGGTTTCAGTGGCTAGCTGTTAATTTTTTCTATGTAGCGCTGTGTCTCCATGTTAAGTGAAAACCAAAAGTATAGTTATTTGAACCTGACATTTTTTGTCCTTTGATGTCTTTATTTAAGCATTGAGTGCAAGTTTCCAAAAAGGAAAGTATAATATTTTATAGTATGCTTGTTTTTTTTTCAACTCAATTTGTTGTAAACAATGAATGATACTTTATTTGAATGTTTCCAACCCAAATGGCAGGAAGCAAATGATAGTAGAACATTTGGTCCAATTCAGATGACGAACATCGTAGGCAGAGTCCTATACTGTCTGCGAAGTGCTGTAGACCACGGCCGTGTACAGAACAGGTAACCAAATTTCTGAGATTAATACGTTGCGCACAAATGGGTATGGTTCTTTTGATTATTAATATTTTTTCTCCCTCGCCAGTCCTTTCAGCATGCAAAATGATTCACCAGTGTTGGAAGTGGAGCTTGATGTTGATGAGATGGCAAAAAGCCACAAAGCCTGAACTTTAGTTCCGAGAAGCGCTAACTTCTTGAGTTTACCTATCCCTTTGTTTCTTGTTAAGGATTTTACTTGAAGCAAGAACGAAAAATAAATAAAATATATGATTTTTAAATTGTTGCTATGGGATGGTGGTATAATGTGGAATATCCTTAGATAACAAGAGACTTGTGTTAAAAGATTAGACAATTGATTGAATCTTTTCCTACCAGAAAATTTGAAGCGGCTTGTGTTAAAGATTGAGTTCAACATTGTTGTAAGTTAAAGTTTAGGCAAAGGATCCTCTGCCTCTTGTTCTATTTGTTAATCATTTGACTCTCAAGTTGGTTGACTAATTTTTAGTTTTTCTTGATGATGACAAAAAGCCACATTATGAGAAAATATGGTTCCTGCTTATTTTCCTTTTGTTCTATGCGTATCATTTCTTCCCCTAGCCTCATCATATTTTGGGATAAGATCCTCTCAATTTTTTTGTCTCTCTATTTTCTCCATTACTATAGTTTTGTGTGTAAATAACACATTTCTAAGACATGTGACATATGATTAATATTTAGTTGATTTTATATACATAAAAATTATAAAAACTATAGTAATAGAGTTTTCCATTTTCTTTTAAAAATTGGAGAGAATCCTTACTCAATCATTTTATGAATGAAGACATGCAGCCTTAACATAACGATTCGAAAAAAAGTGTATCTAATATTCCACTAGACACAATTTACACCGGAGAGAATCTGTGTCTAATATTCCACTAGACACAATTTATACCGAGAGAATCTAATATTCCACTAGACACCTGTGTCTAATATTCCACTAGACACAATTTATACCGAGAGAATCTAATATTCCACTAGACACAATTTACAAGGATTCATATTTTAATCAGTCACTACATATATAATTTTAACTAATGATTTGTTTGTCAATGGTAATTCACTTTACAATAGCCTAATTATTTTATAATACAATTCAATAGTAATTTTTAAAATAGAAAAAAAAGGAATATGCACAGACAATCTAAAATATTTTTATGCAAATGTATTTTTATTTTAAAGTACTAATATAACATAGTTGAATTCAATGAAGGACGTATATTCTGTAAATTTATTTTTAAAATAATAATATGACATATTTGAATGTTAAAATTTTATTAAATGATGGTATAAAATTTTACCTTTAATCTCTTTGAGTTTGATTAATAGGAACAAAATATGAATATTATATTATTGGTAATATTTGTGAAGAAATTTGCATTGCATTGAAGGTCCTAATTCTAAAAAAAAAACATATTTTCCTTTTAGATTAAAAAAACACAATGGAGGTACATAAAACTTAAAACTTTTATCCCATACCTTTATATTTATTTCTATACATGTCAACTTTGTCTTTATATGTTATTAACTAATTTCCTATTTTATCTTTTTACTATTTTTTCTTTAGATTTTTGGAAAATTGCATCCCTGTGTATGTGTACAGAATAATCTCTAAAATGAGTTTTAATAGTATTTTTTTTTGTTTTGTATATATTGTAATAAGTTATCCAGTGTGCATTTTAATTTATTTTGGATAATTTGAAAAATATATTATGATGTTTTTAATTTTTAATGTCTCAGGACACTTTCTAAATAATTTTCAATTTAGAGAAAATGTGTATCAAAACTCTTTTTTTCAAGATATATAATGTTCAATTTTTTGGGGTACTAAAATACTTGATTGAAAGATATTCCTCTATAAATATGCGATAAAAATCAAATATGTGTAGATACATTTGATGCATTTTCAACTATACAAATATTAAATACATGAGAAGATATCATAAGGTGGATTAAAGAGGTTGAAATTATAAATAAAGTAACTGTTATCATCACTCATTCATATACCGAAATAGGCAAGAGAGAGAAGCAATAAAGTAATATTTGGTTGTGATAAAGGTGAGAAATACAAGGATACAAATAGTAGAACACAGAGTGCGACTAAGAAATGCGGATGTCCATTTAAAATCAAGTCGACTATGGGAAAAGATGGATCTGGACGGAAGATTGATGTAAAATGTGGACTTTATAACCATGGTTTATCTGATAGATTATAAGGTCATTCCTTTGTTGGTAGGCTTAACATAGATGATAATCAACATGTTTTTAGTTTGACAAAAATATATGTTTCACTTAGACACATTGGTTATATGTAATATCTGTGTTGGATAATTATTGAGAGATATATTTCAACTATTGACCTAACTTTTTCATCTTTCAAAAAATAAAGTTTAGAAATAGTTTTGTGAGTTGATTTTCACTAATATCGAACTTTTAAATGTTATCATATGGATAGTTAGGTTGAGAGATCATTTAAGGATCAATATGATAAAACTCAGAGATGAAACATCTTGAGAGGATATATGAGTATATTTATTGTTAATGAGTTCACATGCTTTATTAAGAAAATATGCATGAAATGGATTATCGAGCCCTAATCTTGACATGTTTTTAACAATTGTTTTAAAACCGAAACTCTTTTACCGTTACTGAAGCTAGCGGGATTATACCTGAGTGAATCGCACACTCAGGTACTAGCACCTTAAGCATCCGTCGTACCTGACGGGAATCATTTCACGTGCTTTTAGGCTCGGATGGGTTATCTATCTAAAGACTTCTAGCTAAAAAAAGAAAAGAAAGAAAAGAAAGAAAAAGACATAAAGAAAAGAAAGAAAAAGACAGAAAGAAAAGTGCACGCGGAGGATTGGGACCCTCATGCCTACGTACCCTCATAATGCAATGAGAAAGTCAGAGCTCCGTAGTTCAAGGAACCAAGGAAAAGAAGAGGATCTGGACGGACCAGAGAGACAGAAGAATGGAAGAAGACGGAGGAAGATGGCTCGCCAAGATTTCACAATCTTGTGCCTACGTACCCTCATAGTGCAGTGAGGAAGTCAGAGCCTACGTAGTTAGGGGAACTAACTCTGAAAAAGAAAAGGAAAAGAGACGGCGTCAAAGCCAATAGCTAAAAAAGAAAGCAAGACCCAATTGGGGAATGCAAGATGAATGATGTCAAAACTAAGAAAACTCTACTGAGGAACAGAAAGGCGAAGAAGGAACTTACCGAGGAATGCAGAAGAAAAACGATGACTCCATTGGGGAGAAAACAAAAGAATGGCGACGTGGCCGGGAAAAAAGGAGTAAAGGACAAGAATCAAAATAAAGGTAAGATCCACGGGGGACTCGATGCATTAACTGGTAAGTAGTGATTAACCGAAGAAAGATAAGAGTAAAACTTTATGGGAAGAGCAAAAAGGTTGGTGTCAACAGACGAACTGTAGCGAACCAAGCGAAAGAGAATATTAAACCAAAGGAAGGTGTTTGACTCTGAGGGGAAATTGGTATATTAACTGATAAACAATGATTAACCGAAAGGAGAAAGGAACTGGTTTTAACCGATAAATGGTGATCAACCAAGAGACAGGTGTGGAACCAAACAAAGGTTATGACCCAAAGAATGACACATTGGCTGAACAAACAACACTTGGCCAAAGGAAAGGGGTATTCAAACCAAACAAAGGTTACTATCCCAAAGCCGGCAGTGTTTGAACCAAAGAAAGGTTGTTAACTGCAGGGGGTTCGGTGCTTAACAGACGGGCTGTGATTAACCGAAAAGAAAGGGTGATTAACCAAAAGAAGATGATTAACTCAAAAGAAACTCAGTATCTTAACAGAAGGGACGCGGTTAACTGAGAAGAAGAGTGATTGGTTCAAACAGGCAGACTGCGATTGACCAAAAGGAGGGTGATTAACCAAGAGAAGATGATTAACCCAAAGAAAAAGCTGGTTTTAACGGGCAGACCGTGATCAACCAAAGATCGAGTAATTAGCCGAAAGAAGAAGATTAACCCAAATTAAAAGCTAGTATTAACAGACGGGCTGTGATTAACCAAAGATCGGGTGATTAGTCGAAAGAAGGCGATTAACCCAAAGAAATTCAGTATTAACACACGGGTTGTGATTAACTGAGGAAAAAATGACTTGTGTTTAACTGACAGGTAGTGATTAACCAAACACGGAGGAGAGAGAACCAAGAGAAGGTTGTGAACTCTGATGGGGATTAGGTTTTAACGGAATGACTGTGTAAACCAAAGGAGAAAGAATAACTTTGCTGGGGAAGAAGAGAATTGGCTTTATCCAAAGAACGGTTGAATAGCCAAGGAAAGAAGTGATTACAAATATCTGGGGAACCAAGAATGGATTGACCTCAAGATAAAAGAGTGTTGAATTGAAAGGAGGAAGTTACTTCCAAAAAGGAGATAAGGATGCAAATGGTCAAGAATCTACTCGACTGGAGAAAGCAGGAATACCACAGAAAGGAGATAGAGGAGACTATTGTAAGGGCAAAGCCTCATATACAAGATATTCTTATTTTGATGATGTCAAAACTTATCTTCATAGAAGAACCGATGTTGGGCGTTATCACCATGTTGTATGTGCATACCTTGTTTCTCATGACTTATTTGCTTGCATAAAATATATCGCGTGTTGCATATAGAGATGTCAAAATATGTGTCATATGTGTTAAACTTCATTGGTCTATCATAGGTATCATCTAAGAGAGTCAAAAGTATGAAATTAGGCCTTTGTAGTAATTTCAGGTCTATGAGTCGACCAAAGTTCTGCTCCGGTCGACTCATGATATGTGTCTAGCTCTTGCATTTTCTTCGGGTTAGCTCTGGTCGACCTACCGGTCAACTCATACTGTTGGCATTTTCATTTGTCTAAAAATTTAGGCTATGCGTCGACGCATGCCTTCTTCCGGTCGACGCATGGTTGTGTGTTTTGCACAATCTTTTCCTTGGGTTAGCTCAGGTCGACCCTGCACTCTGCATGAGTTGAACGCTCGCTGTTGTAATACCCCAAATTTTGCCCTAAGATTAGTCGTTTCATCTTGCATCCCATTTTATTTTGCATTGCGTTTAAGCTAACCACCAACGGGCTGTGCAGTTGGTTGATTGTTGCAAGAAAA